GGCGTGGCAGACCTCTTCTGTCGTGCCCGCTGCTCCCCTCAGCAGTGCTTTCAGTCTGTCTGCCTGTTCTACTCCCCACTCTGTCTCTGGTTACTCCTTTTACCCTCCCGCGCCTCTGGCCTGTACCCCAGCTATTGTATAAATAGAAAAAAATCTTTAAAAAAAAAAAAAAGATATCTTTGCAAACATTGTTTTTATAAATAATAGTTTTCTTATATGTCTTATGTAAAGGTTTTTAGTGACCTGCCTAAAATTTCCTATATTTGTATACAGGAAAATAATCTGATCTAACAGTAGGCTATAATCTTAACTTTAATCTTTCAGTTTCTTTAGCTTTCTGTTATGTACTTTCTCTTCATGGAGCCTTTCCTTCTGATATGCCAGATTGTGGCCAGGGTGATTGTCACCTGCTGGACTGGGAGTTTCTGGAGATCAGGTCCAGACCAGTTGCTGGATGAATGAATGAGCACTTCATTTGTTAATTTAACAACTGCCTTTTAGTTGGCCCAGTGAGTATTTGGATATGTATTATTATGATTGAATAGGAAGCAGATATTCAGATGGTTTTGGTAAAAATAGTTTTAACAATCATTTGTACATCTCTAGCTCAGTAATGGGGATTGTAGGCCCAACATTGACACCTTCCCACTCATTGCTGCCTTTCCTCTTACAGCTATAAGGTCTGCTTGTTATATCCTAAGCCTTAACCTAAGACCACAATCAGGGAAAGAGTTAGAGTGCAAGATGAAGGGAAGGAAAAACAGATACTCAGGGTAGGGATTATTGAGGCCCCAAGTTTACCTTATGTTTCTGCTTTGGAGGGGGGACATTTCCTCTCAGATCCTATCAGATGCTAATATGATAGAGACCTCATAGTATAGCTGAAGGGTGAATAATTGGCTCAGCAGGGTTTGGAGCCCCAACCAACTCCCCACATAGTAGTGATTTGACAGGCAGGGGAAGGGCACCATTAAGAAGTTTTAGGTTTGGTTTAAGATACTAGCACAAGAGAATGCATAGTCCCCCACCCCTGGTTCCTTTATTCTCAGGCAGACTGTGGAACATTGGGAGACAGCATGAGTAAAGAACATTAGGGCTAGAATGTGAAGGATCTAGAGTATTAGGCTAGAACCATCTGTCTTCTTAGGGCATTTAGGTTATCAAATACCTCCCAGTCCCAGTCATTAGACCGGGCAATTTACATATATTGTCTCTAATCCTTACCCTAACCCTGAGAGGTTCGTATAATTCCCAGTTTGCAACTGAGGAATCTGAGGATCAGTGAGGTTAAGAAATATGTCCAAGGTTACAGCTCAGAAATGATGGGGCTGGCATTGGAACTCATTCCATTCTGAGTGTAGAACTGGTGTAGATTCTACTATTTCAAGTTCATTTTTCCTTTGTTACTAGGAAACAGTCAAAAAATTAGTACCTAGAGAGGGGTCTTTTTTAAAAGACAGATAAAGGACAAGGCTTATGTGTGCTGTTTCCAGCATCTTCACAGTGCCAGTATTGAGAAAACTCAAGAAATGTTTGTTGAATGAGTGAAGGGGATAGAAAATAGGTAATAGTAGAAATGGGTTTAGCCCCAGATTCTTTTAAAGTATGTTACACATGATGCAACAGGGTACTTTCATATCAGTTAGCTTATTTGATTTTTATATCACATCTGAAAGGTAGTCAGGGAAAAGTTTATTGTGTAACTTGTTGCAGATCACATGACTAAGAACAGCTGAGCCAATGCCAAGCCTCTTGGACCTGTAGCCTGTAGCTTTTACACTCTCACCCATCCAGGAACCCTTAGTGTTCAGCGTGCTCAGAACTGCAGTTTCTCATAGGAGTGGGAATGGTCAGGACCTAAAGAGCATTCCTTGGAAAATTAGTCCTGTCTGGCCGATAATGATCATTTGGGCGATGCTAATGAGCTGGATGGAGCCTGGCAAATTTAATGAAATTAACAGATGTTCTGTCATCCTTGGCTGCCTGGTAACCAGGAGCCTCTGACCAAGGAGGCCCTGGGCACTGTTCAGTCTAAACTGTTTGACTTTCTTCAGAAATAGACTCCCCATCACTGGTAGTTACTTTCCTTAAAAAACACCCAAGTGTTCCAGGCAGAGGACCGGCCCTGAGGTGTGGCCCTCATTCCCATGCTGGAGAATAAAATGAGAGGTATGCAGCAGGTCATCACGACCAAGAGCAGAGCAGCTTGTCCTTTAAAATGAACTTTGCAAGAGCAAGCAATCTGGTGCTAGAGAGGATCTAGAGTTAAGGGAATGGGTATCCTGATATCTGAGTGCCTGAGGGGTCAAGTTGAAGAGTAGACTCAGATTCCATCTCTGATTGGCAGGACTGAGGGGGCCCAATGGATGATATGGTAGAGTTAGAGTCTTAAGACAGTTTTGGAGACAGTGGCATGTAGAGTGTCTAACAAGAAGTTCATTCAGTCTCCTAACTATTCTTCTCACTAGCTGGGTGGCCATTAAGTAAGTTACTTATCATTGCTGATATTTCATCTATAAAATGGGACTAATAATGTCAAGATAAAGGATATAGACAGACCTTGTTCGCTGAAATTCTGTGCAAGTTGGTACCAGCCTCTTCATCGGTAACAGTCCCTCTCAGCCCCCTTTCTTGATATTGGACCGTACACATTCCAATCATTTTTGGGTGTAGTCTTTGGTTTCTTTGCAAACAGTGCCATCTTTTGGTCAGAACATGCCAACTTCCTTCCTAGAAGGAGTGAATAGAAAAGCTTCTCAACCAAGTGGGGGCGAAAAATACAGATTTCCTAGTTTATATTTACTCAGCTTTTCTCTGATATATTGAAAAGAAGCCCCATTTCCCCAAAAAATAAAATTTTGAGGGTCAGGTGTTTACAGTTAGCCTAGGCTGGTGAGAGTTTTCTTTTTTCAAGATTTATTTATTTATACAAGCACTTGGGTACAAGCCAGAGGGATGGGAGGGCGAGAGAATTCACCAGAGACAGAGCAGGGAGCAGAACAGGCAGAAGGACTGAAGTACACTGCTGAGGGGAGCAGTGAGTGCAACAGGAGAGGTCTGCTGGCCATGGAATCTCCCTGGCCGGCCGGGAATCAAACCCGTGCTGCAGAGGCTGCGGACAGCTTCACAGCGCTGCGCTCAACCTGCTGCACCACCGATGAGGCTTGTGAGAGTTTTTATACATACTTCTTGGGGTCTTCAGCATCTTCTGAAACAGTTTTAGGGTATTGAGTGCTCCAAAAGGAAGTTGCACCAACCCATGCCAATGAGCAGAAGCCTGGGCCAGAATGTACAAATTATATGGCTTAATGATAAGCTTTTCCTACTAAATTGAGCCTCTTTTCCCCTTCCCTACAGAGCCTGTGCCCATTGTAATCTGGTCAGGAGGGGAGGGGAGGGAGGAATTTATACAGCCCTTTGGGAATAAGAGTATAGCAGTCAGAGTATATCAGATCGCCAGAGTATAGCAGTCAAAGAGTATCATCTCTAAGCCAAACAACAAAATCTGAATGAGTAAATATAAAAATAGGTAACTAAAAGTTAATTTTTCAAAACGGTTCACATAAATATGCTGACTTACTATAGTACTTATGTTGACTTTAGCTCTGGGAAGGAGAGAGATAAAGTCAAAAGAAAGGGACTTTAGCTGATCTGAATTTTGAATACCTGTTTGTGAATGGTAATAATACAACTCATGAGGCCTTGGGATTGTTCAGTATTGCTTACTACCATAGTGCACATTGAGTGTTCTGTCATGCTGATTTAGCTTACCTTTTTAAAAATGACTGATGCCTATAAAGACAGCCATAGTTAGGTTAATGTCTGGATCAAACTAAGCAATTTTCATAATAATGATATTGTTCCAGAGCAAACATTACTTCCAATTGCCATGTTTCTACATTGAAGGAACAGAAGGAAAGCTGTGGAGAGTCCTCAACTTTAGATTCTACTTTGGGAAACATTTGAGATGAGCGTTATAAAAGGAATGAGTTTAAAAGAATTGGAGTCAAGCAGACCAGGGTTCAAATCCCAGCCCTACCATTCACTAGTGTTATGATCTGTGAATGTGTCTTCTTTGTAAAATTTTCTGGTTCTTATACTTGCCTTGTTAGTATCAGGGGTTCTAATAAGGGCACCTCTGTGAGAGAAAAGTGAAGTAGGTAACTGTAAACTGAAACCCTTGATGTTTACACATGAATTCTTTTGGAATGAGTACTTTATAGAATGGGGTATGTGTTTACTAAAGACTTTTTACCTGTGGTATAGGATTAATCATCCTGATCAGAGAATTTTCTGAATCTCTTTCTATATGGTTCAAATTATGGCCAAACACCTCTTAAAATGAAACATCTTGACAGTTTAAAAATAAAATGTCCTGGGCCTCCCCGGTGGCGCAGCGGTTGAGCGCTGGGTTGCGAAGCTGCCTGCAGCCTCTGCAGCCGGTTCCATCCCCGGCTGCTCCCCGGAGGAGGGTCCCATTCTCCGCGCTCCTGCTCCCCTCAGCAGTGTACTTCGGTCCTTCTGCCTGCTCTGCTCCCCGCTCTGGCTCTGGTGAATTCTCTCACCCTCCCACGCTTCTGACTGTACCCAGTGCATGTATAAACCAAAAAACAAACAAAAAAAATAAAAAATAAGACATGCCTCTAGGTATATATTATAATGTCCAGCCTCCTGGTGGTGCAGCGGTTGAGCGCTGTGCTGCGAAGCTGCCCGCAGCCTCTGCAGCACCGGTTCGATCCCCAGCCGCCGGCGAGGGTCCCATTCCTGCCGCGCTCACTGCTCCCCTCAGCAATCTGTTCCCTGCTCTGGCTCTGGTGAAAAAATGTCAGTCACTGGCATGAAGTCAGTAGTCAATAAGATAAGCAAAAACAGGGGGCTGGATGCTGTAGGGGTGTGTGTGTGCGTGTGTGTAAAGCAATTTAGTTTTGTCAGGATGTAGGCCATGGGCAGTCTTGGGCCAAATTTGGGGACCTAGCCTCACAGTGACTCTCTTTCTTCAGGTAGCACCATGTCTTTGAAGATCCAGACAAGCAATGTAACCAATAAGAATGACCCCAAGTCCATCAATTCTCGGGTCTTCATTGGAAACCTCAACACAGCTGTGGTGAAGAAGTCGGATGTGGAGACCATTTTCTCCAAGTATGGCCGTGTGGCCGGCTGTTCTGTGCATAAAGGCTATGCCTTTGTCCAGTATGCCAATGAGCGTCATGCCCGGGCAGCTGTGCTGGGGGAGAATGGCCGGGTTCTGGCTGGGCAAACTCTGGGTAAGCATCTCTCCATAATCCCATCCCTGGTATTCTCCAGAGCAGCTGCTAGCTTCACTCTCCAGCTTCCTCTCTTAGCCCCATTTCTTTCCCCCCATCATTACCACTGCTCTGAGGTGTTATAACGTAAATAGTTTTAAATTACATGTAAGTTATGAATTAAGCAGTTGTAAAATTAATGCTATTTAGGGGAGAATTTTAGGCACTTCCAAGAAGTGCTTTTTCCTTTCACAGCGCTTTCTCTCCTTTCACAGTACTCTATGATAAATCTTACAGTTCTAGTTAAAATGCATATTTTCCAGAGAAGGGGAACAGAGTAGACTAGCACAGCCTGTATTACACTCGGCTACAGATGACTTAGGTTAGAACCCTTTTTGAGAGTCAGGAGGAAAAGTGGGGAGCACAGGGTGAAGCAGGTGCCCTTGACGTTGGTGTTTTAAAAACCATGTGATGTAGCCATGCTGGTGGTCTACTTTGGAGTATGTGTGGTGTTTCTGTATTTGTACCTAATTCCGTGTATATCTATCTATATATGTACTCCTGAGTATGAACTGAATATGTGGAGAATATATGGACACATTCCTAAGTTTGTTAGTGTGTCTGTCAGGATACATTTTAGTGTATAAGCAGATATGCACATTCATTTACCAAATGCTTACTGAGATTCTATGATGTGTTAAGCACTACTCTAGATTTGGTAGTGCATTTGTTTGAATATGCATTAGCTCATTTGCATACAGGCCAAGTCTGAGTGTACTTGAAAATAGATGTGTTATTGATGTGAGCTATATAAATATGTGGGTGAAAGTGTGTATCTGATGTATGTATTTACTTGTGTACTTGAGAATACATATATGTGTGATGTCCATGACATGTGTAAGAGGTTTATGAGCATGTATGCAGGTGTCTGAATGGCTTTGTAAATAAGCACATGCATATGCATGTAATGTGTGAAGACCTTTGTTGGTTATATGGGTGAGTAAAGTCCATGTGTATAGCATGTAAACACATAATTTTTGCATGTGTGCATGAGGGTGATATGTACATAGGCATCCTGCTATCTGGCCAGCGTCTGACTCTGCTTCCTCCCTCCCCCAGACATCAATATGGCTGGAGAGCCCAAGCCCAACAGACCCAAGGGGCTAAAGAGAGCAGCATCTGCCATATACAGGTGGGGCACTCTGTTTGGTCTGTCAGGGTGGGATTGGTCCCTCTTTCCACAGAGGGGGTGAATGCTAGTGGTGTGCCAAACCTAGAATCCGGGGAGGCATTTGGAGATGAGGGCCTGTGGAGAGTGGGTTGAGTGGCCGTCCCTAAGCCCTGGCCCTCTCCCCTTTGTTTCCCCAGTGGCTACAGCTTTGACTATGATTACTACCGGGACGACTTCTACGACAGGTGAGCAGGGGAGGGGCGTGCCCAGGCATGAAACAGCCAAGCTGGAAGGGTCCTGAGAGATTGCTGGTGCAGCCCACTCAGTACTCAAGTGGGAACCTAAGCCCAGAGGTGTGGACAGGCATCTGCCCAATGCTGTTCCATAAGTTGGTGGCAGAGCTAGGACTAGAGTCCAATTCTGAGGGTGCCCAGGCCAGCGCTCACACTGTCTCACACTGTCTCCCATTCTCTGACTATCCTTCATCCTCCTAATCCTGGGGTGGAAACTTGATGGGACCAGACAGCCAAAGAACCTATCAGTGTAGTAAGTTGGAATACAAAGCAGTGTACAGGGAGTTTGAGCCCTCACGCTGCTGCAATCACTCTGCATACTTCTTTGATGTGTCCAGCAAGCTAGAAGGAAACTCAGAGCTCATTCTGATCCTCTTGGCCTTGTATTTATACTCAGAAGACTCAGCAGCCATTTTGAGGTATGAATTAGTCCCTGGTAGTCTATGCCCCACTCTCCAACCCAAAACCTAGCCAGATCCCAGCTCCTTGGAACAAGGAACATCTCTGAGAGGAAACCATGATGGGAACTGGTGCACACCTCTTCCCTGCTTCCCATCCTCCCTCCATCTGGGCCTGCCCTAGGCTGTCCAGGAAGAACAGAACCTCTCTGAGCCTCTGTTTTCTTACCTGTGAATGGTGTCAGGAGAGTGCGCTAGCCTGGGGTTCAGAAGACCTGGGTGCTAATCTTAGCTCTGCCACTGAATGGATTGTTTGACTTTGGGCAAATCCCCTTCCCAGTCTGTGAAATGGGCTTGCACCAAGTGATTCCTCAGGGTTCCTCCAGTTCTGGGATTCTGTGGTTCAGTGATTCTGACCAAGGCCAGAGCCGCCCCCTCCCCTTGGGGGCAGAAATGCAGGGTCTGGGACTGGGTGTATTCCCAGAGACTCTCCATCTCTTGCCAGCACCACCCCAGGGCAGGGGCTCTCTGAACAAAAGACTGCCAGAGCTTGGGGCTCATTCAGTTGCCTTCATAGGGCAAGCTATTGTCAAGAAAATGATCCAAAGTGTACCCTTGAGGCAGCTGTTCCCTGCAGAAAGGTGATAGTAACAGATGTGGAGGGACTTCTACCCTGCCTACTGAGCTTCCTGACCAGCAGAAGAGACCTGGATGATGGCATTGGGAGACAGGGTGCCCTGGGGTCTGAGCTACCCAACCCTTGATACCCTGCTGGATCCCCTGCCCTCCATCTCTGAAGTAAAATAAGAAGGATAGAGGTACTAAGGGCATCCAACACGAGAAAGGGACTTGGACTCCAGTTTCGTGCCTCTGAGGTCTTTAGCTCTTCTCAGTACCCTGGCCTTTTTCCTGTCACACCTATCATGTGTTTTTAACCAAGATCTCTCATATTCTTGCCCTTTTAGTAGTAGCCTTTGTGGGGGTGGGGCACAGAATTTGAGATAGCCATCTTTATTTGGCTGGAAAAAACAGGCTCAGGCAGGCTTAGGGATTGGCCCTACTCTTACACCTGTTCACAACTGGGCATTTGTGTTCCTTTAGGGTACTTAGTTTTGGTGGCAGTTGGCTGAACAGAGGCCAGGTTATATAATAGAGAAGGCCTGGTTGTCAGAGTGATCTAGGGCATGCTCCTTTCCGGGGCTAGTCTCAGTTTGCCTCTCCATTGAATTGGGACTATCTCATTATCTCAGCTACCTCACCTGCTCTTACTTGCCCTGGCTCTTGTGTAGTGTAGTGAGGCTGCCCAGTCCTTGGATACATGTTAGGCTAGGGCTGCAGTGCCCCCTCTGTTGGCCACAGGCCATGCTGCAGCCTCTGGCCCATTTGCCCTCACAGGCTCTTCGACTATCGAGGCCGCCTTTCACCAGTGCCCGTACCCAGGGCAGTCCCTGTGAAGCGGCCCCGGGTCACAGTTCCCTTGGTTCGGCGTGTCAAAACCACCATACCTGTCAAGCTCTTTGCCCGCTCTACAGCCATCACCACTGGCTCTGCCAAGATCAAGTGTGAGTGACAATGTCTTCTTCCTAGGTTATTTTTATTTTTGTCATTAGTAAAATAATAGAATCACATTTTTTTACATTGGAAAATAGATAAAGGAACCAATCTCCCACAGTTCTGCAGCTCTGACACAACCAAGTGAGTATTTTCATGCATTTCTAAAGGAAAAGACTGACATTTAAGGAGGAGAGACTTGGTTGGGCACAGAGTTCAGTGCTGTGACATGAAACCCAGTGAGGAGATGGTGACCTCTTTCCTCTAGTAAGGACAAGGACAAGTCTACATAGGCCCCCTACTCCACATTCATTCTGGTGTACACATGCTATAGTAAGGATCCCAGGAAATTTGATGTCAAAACACCCACATTTACACGCTTGAAAGGCAGATGCCACTCTGTTACACAAAGAGAGACACACATGTACCACATACCCAGCCCCTTAAAGAGATGAGACATCAGTGGGGGTGAGGGAGATGAGGAGGTTAGAGGCCCAGTTCAGAACTGCAGACTGGCCACTGGAATGGCCAATGGCTATTGGCCACTGGCCAATGAAATGGCCTCCAGAACATCTCAGGGGGGAGCAAGGCAGCTCCAGCATTGTCCCTGGCCAGGGTAAAAAACGTGGACAAGGACAGTTCCTTAGGCCTGTCTTACTAGTTGACAGAATGGGGCTGAGGTCTTATGTTAGTGTCAAGCTCCTAGTTCCAAGTTCCCAGGTGACAACCCTGTCTTCCCTCCACTCCCAGTAAAGAGCAGTGAGCTGCAGACCATCAAGACAGAGCTGACACAGATTAAGTCCAACATCGATGCCCTGCTGGGCCGCTTGGAGCAGATCGCCGAGGAGCAAAAGGCCAACCCAGGTCAGCTTCTGAGGGTCCCTGCCCAACTCAGTTACCAGGGGCATGAGCATGGGGCAGAGTGTGGGGAGGACAGTGCATGGGCCAGAGAGGGGCTGTGGCCTACAATCCCGAGGCCTACTATTCTGCTAAGGTGCTATCATGGGCAGCTGCCCCAAGCTGAATTTTAATATACTTACTCCCCTTCCCCCTCAAGATGGCAAGAAGAAGAGTGACAGTGGCAGCAGCAGTGGCAATACTGGTGGCAGCAGTCGGCCACCAGCCCCTCAAGAGGACACCGTTTCTGAGGCAGGCACACCCCAGGGAGAAGCACAGGCTCGAGACGACGGTGATGAGGAGGGGCTGCTGACACACAGCGAGGAGGAGCTGGTGAGGGCATGACTGGGTTGGGACTTTGCAGGTACTCACAGAAGGACAGCAAGGGAAGGGGGAACATCTGAGCTGGTTGACCCCGCTATGAGCATACTCCTTTCCAGATGTTCTAGTCCTGTGAGGAAGAGTGGGTGATGAGCAGGGAGAAGTTGCAGCCAATCAGAAGTCCTATGAGGATTGGGGTAGACCTCGCCCAAGCCTAGGGTCCATTCTGGACTCCATTTTCTGCATGCATTAGAGAAGGAAAGTCAGGACTCAAGGTAATACGCAGGTCTGCCAAGTTCCAGAGAACAGTGCTGGGACTGCCTGGGGAGGCCTCAGTGGATGCCCGCTCCACCTGAAGAGTTTCTAAAAGCCATCACGGCCTGCACTCAAAACAGGCTGTCACCTGAGGGAGTGAACTTTCCATCTATTACTGGAATTCTTCAGAGTGAAGTTGGGAGGGCATGTAACTAGACATTTATGTTAAATGGGAAGGTAGACCAGATTCTGCATCTGTAAGCTATCTTTGTGTGCTTACTCCTCCTCTGCTTAACATTCACTGAGCACCAGGCTCTGTAGTTCACACTTTCACTTTGCCTTGACAACAGCGTTGCACTCTACAAAGTATTAACTCTTCTCACATTTTACCATGTGAGGAAATGGAGATTCAGAGGAATTGAGTAGCTTGCTCAGGGTCTTATAACTAATAAGGGCTGAATCAGCATTGGAGCCCAGATTTCACCAAGTCTGGAATATTCTTTTTATCACTGGTAGGTTCTGGCATGAGGGCTTTTGGCCATGACAGTTAAGAGGTCCTCCTCATACCTAACTCACCTCCTTTGAGCCTGATACTTCATCTTACTACCTCAGGGAGAGTAGTCTCCATAAAGACTGATGTGCCCCAAAGATGGGGAGCTCACAGTCTGCTAGGCTGTCAGTGTATTCCCGTCTGAGATGGTCTCTCTATGTGGAAATGTCCTCCCTGCCACACCCAGGGCTCTCTTGACTGCTTTCTTCTCACTTCTGAGGATCCCTCACACCACTCTGTCAGAAACTTAACCAGCCTTGTTTGGACTGGGCCCATAGTCATTCCCCTTGACTCTCCCTCTCCCTTGCTGAGTGAGTGTGCCAGACACCCAGTGTGACTCAGCTCACAGTGAATGATGTATGGTCTCTTGTTGCCTCCTTCCCATCAGGAGCACAGCCAGGACACAGACACGGAGGATGGGGCCTTGCAGTAAGCAGGTATGGGGGTCTTGGTGGGTAAGGGGTGGGAAAGCAGGGAAAGGGAAGGCATGCTGTGAAGCAGACCTGGCTGGGTAGTGGAGGCTCCTCTGTCCTCAGCCATCCCACTGCCCACCCCCACCCCGAAAGTGGGGGCCTGGTGGGCTGCAGGAGAGGGAGCCATGGATGAACTTGCCAAGCCTGTCCAGTTTGGCACACTGAACCATGATCCTTGTCTCCATCTTAAAGAACTCTTAGTCTGATGGAGGAAGGTACAAACCATTATCACCCAGTGTGAGCACTAGGACAGGATTAAAAAGGGGTGGAAGAGATAATAGTATGAGCCTGCTCAAGATTGAGGGAACAGTCTTATTAGCAGGGGCATAGAGTTCTTATAGTGTGTGTGGGAATGGGCCAGGATCCTCCTGTGACTACAGTCCCAGCTCTGCATAGTAGGGAGAACAAGCAGCTCTCATCAGAGGATGATAATTGTCCCAGACTTAGGGAGCTAGGTCTTCATCCTGTCAGAAGGGAATGTTCTGTGTGCCAGGAGCTTCCCCAGACCTACAAGATTGTGATTGTACCAGCATAATGATGTGGAAGCAGGCACTGATGAGGGCGGGGAGAGAGATGTCATGTGTCTCACAAGGTAACAAGGTATGGAGTCTAGATTTTAGGCCAGCGTGCACCTCCCTGCTCTGCCCACATCAGAGGAAAATCAGGCCACACCATTCTGCCGGCTTGCTGCCCCATCTCTTGGGACTGTGGTCAGAGTGAAACAGACTTGGCTGGAGGAACGTCTCAAACAACACAAGTGTCTTGACACATGACGCTATGCTGTGAGATGCTCCACTAGCAAGGGCTTCCCGGACATTAGGAGGAAGTGCCTCAGATCCAATCTTGCCTCTGGGAGCTTCATGATTTCTGTAACCAGGGAGGTTAAGTTTTACTTTATTAACAATTTCAAGATGAGGTGATGTGTGGAGGAGACTTGCCCAAGGTTTTGTGGAGAGAGAATGAGGCTAGAGCGAGAGCACAAGCATGTCTTTGTCTCCCAGTAGCAGACACCATTCTCCCCTTTCTTCTTCCCAGCCCTTGCTATCTAAAGTTGAGGGATTTTTTTTTCCTCTCAGCCTTAGTTTTTCCTTTATCTCTCTTTCTCAGCCTGACAGGAATGATGACCACCGGCAGGAGGAGGGTGTGCACTGTCCAGGCCTCAAGCTGGGCACCCACCCCTGGATGCCATCCCCAGCAGATCCCAGAGGAGAGCTGGCAGCAGGCACCTCCTCCCCCACACATCCCAGCCAGTGCCACATCCTCTGCAGGTGGAGTTACCGGCCTCCCCACCCCACGCATCCTCCCTGTCGGCACTGCCCAGGACAGAGCACAGAGGTTTCCCCACACTCTGCCTCCCTTCCTCAGGACACTCCCATATTCAGGGGTGGGGGTGGGTGGGTGTGGTTTCTGTAGGTTTGGAGAGGTGGGCCATAGCGAGGGGACCCCAACAATAAACGAGATTGGATCCCAACTTGCTCTGAGATGGGATGGTTTGTGTTTTCTCATGAAGCTATCTTTCTCTGCCCCATCCCCCACCCAGCCAGCAAGCATCTTGGCTATATCACTTTTTGTCCCCTCCTTTACTCCTCCTGCCAGGGAACATTGTTGGAAGATGGCAAATATTGATCCATTGGGCCCTTAGTTTCCATGGCTCAAGTAATAGGGATAAACATGGCCAGTGGGGTTGTTGGGGAGAATCAGTGCCCATGAGATCACCTGGCTGACTGAAAGTCCAGCCCAGCAGTTGTGACCCACTTAGTCGCTCATTAATCGGTTCAGACACATCTCTTGCCTCAGCTTCTCACTGTTTGGTTTCCCCCAGCTTTAAAATGATTCTAGAAGCTGTCACTTCTTTCCTTTTCTAACGTAATTTAGGACTTTTTTTTTTTTCTCACTTGGCCTTTGTGCTCCTAGCAACCTCCCAGTCTCTAGCTTGCCCTCCCTCATATCCTTTCTACCTCCAACCACCAACCAATCGGTAGTGAAGATTTCTAAACATTTCCTTCTCTATGGAAACTCCTTTCTGACTCCTCATCGGCAAGGCAAAATCCTAGCTCCTGAATGTGGGGATTCCACCCTGCTTGTCCTGGCTGGCCTTCTGTCTTTGTCACCGCTTCCCTTTCCTGCTTCACACACACACCTTCCCCCACAGCCACTCAAAGCAAGACTGTCATATTTGGAGGTGGTTTTGGTAGCAGGGGGTAGAGCACTACCCACTCTAGTTGCCTTAACCAATGGAAAGTTTGCATCAAGATTCATATGGCCTGGTTGCACCTGTCCTGGACCGTTTGTCTAGACATGCACTCTGTTGTCTCTCAGACACCTACTTCTGTCCTCCCTTCATACTAGTTCCCCTTTATTACACATAATGTATTAACCAATTCTCCTGAGAGAATCGTTCAGTTTTCCAAGAGAATCAGTCAGTTGCCACAGCAGAGCTTTTTCACTCATAGGTAACAAATACTGTCCCCAGTCCAGTGAACTGGACATCCCAAAACAGGTTTTGTTCTTAGCCTTGCTCCTACTTTTCTCTATTTGGGAAATAGCAACTCATCATTAAGCTTCTGTTCTGTGTCCCCATCTCTCAGACGTCTCCCCATCCAGCCTACCGTTCTTTTTGAATTTCTCATTCCCTATTCTGGGCTGCCTTCACCCAACACAGGAAATTCAAAACTATCATTAGAGCAAGATGGAAGCTTTTACAGTTCATCTTTACATGTTCCTCAAAGTCTGCATGCCTGCTGGTGTCCTTGTTGAAAGTCTCCAGTTTTAGACCAACAATTCTGTCATAGAACCTCTGCCAAACCTTCCACTGAGCTTTGGTAGAACATGGAGGCTGACTAAGTCCCCAGGAAATGTTCATCCCCCTATAAAGCCATCAGTAGAACATAGGCCTCCCAGTCCCCAAACCTGCAATTTTGTTGCCCAGAAAGCTAAAACCCAGCTCTAGCGGGCCCTCTGTATACCTGGGCAAGTCTTCATGTCCTTACCTGTGTATTCAGGTAACCATTGCCTGGGACTAGAACTTAGGCAAGGTTCAAAGAGGAGATTGTAGAGCCTGCTGAACTTCACGCCTCGAGCTGGCACTATATGCCATTTCAGTCTCTGTAAGGCCCTAGACCCAGACACTCACTTTTCAGACCTTGGGAGATGGGTAGAATATCAGAGGGCTTGGATTCCCTTTGTATGCCAGACATAGAGGGTCATGAGAAGAGCAGGGATGACCATTCTCAGGGCAAGAAGCATCGGTCCCAGAGGGCCCCACCGTACCCTGCCCTATCACTCTGGCTTCAGGACATGTTCTGCACAAAATGAGAATGGGATTCCCCCTCCTGGCACTCCAGAATAGCTCCTGGGAAAGTCACAGGCCCTTGAATGGGAGATTCACATCCACAGAATACTACATGCATATACTTGCCTGCCTTCCCCATGTCTGGGCCCAGGAAAGGTATCTCCCATTCTACTGCTAAAGTTTGTATTTTTTCTGTCACACCTCTGAAGACCAAGGGAGATGGTGCTGAGATCTGATACCAGATTCTGCTCAAAGGCCTAATATTCTCTAGATCTGAAGCTGCAATTGTGATTCTAGCTGCCATCTGGAAAAGGATGCCAGCTTATTGGATGGTGATCGAAGGTTTTATCTTTATATTGTTGCCAGTAAGGTTTGTGACCCTGGGGAAGTCTTTCCTTGTTAGGTCTGTCCTCGTCTATAAAATAAAGGGTTGGCCCAGATGAGAAAATAGTAAATGGGCCTTGTATCAATTACTGACTTTTCTGTTAGCACCCTGAAATTCAGTACCTTTTATACACGTTCAATAGCTTCTGATTCTGTGGCATGGCAATTTGGGCTGTGCTCAGCTGTGTGCCTCTCATCCGGGTGCTCATGTGGCTCAAGTGAGCTGGCAGGTTGGCTGGGAACTGTTTGGTCCCAGATAATTTTAACCATTGCTTGTCGAGTGGTTAGCTGGGCAGTGGGAGCAACTGGGCTACATGTTCCCAACATCTGTCAGACTGAAGACTGGCTACCAAAAGAAACAAGACAGCAAGCCCCGATATGCAAGTGCTTTATCAAGTTCCTGCTTATGTTGTATTTGTAAGGTTTCATTCGCCAAAGCAAGTTACATGGCTAAGTTCAAATTTCTGTTAATTTGAGGAGCGTTTTCAGTCAGTCTCAGGCCCCATTTCACTTACTGATTCAGATCATTTAATAGTGGCTGCCTGGAAAGCTTGTTGAGGATTTGGAGCAATTTTTAGACTATTAGGAAATAGTAACATCATAGTTTGGGCATGTCTTTTTTTTTTTAAAAAGATTTATTTATGCATGCATACATGCATGCATGTAAGCACTGGGTACAGTCAGAAGCGCGGGGAGGGTGAGAGAATTCATCAGAGCCAGAGCGGGGAACAGAACAGGCAGAAGGACCGAGGTACACTGCTGAGGGGAGCAGCGGGCGGCAGGAGAGGTCTGCGCGCCATAGGGGACCCTCCTCCGGTGGCCGGGGAGTAGCTGGGGATCAAACCAGCACTGCAAAGGCTGCGGGCAGCTTCGCAACCCAGCACTCAACTTCTGTGCCACTGGGAGGCCCATGGGCATGTCTTCTATGGATGAGGAATTAAAATGTGGGCATGTCTACACAAACCCTGGCTAGGTTGACCTATGAGGTGGTCATCTGTCCCATAAGGACAATATATATGCTGTGGGCTCATCACAGAAATCTAGATAGTTTGGCAAGATACTGGGCCAGGTATCCTGGGTCAGAATCCCAGTTGGACCATTGGTTAACTTTGGGCAAGTCAAAGTTATTCCTCCTGTATTCACATTCTTCATAAAAAATACATTATTCCCCAGTAAAAATATCAAAAACACCTTTATTTGCAGTATAAAAGGCACATTTTATGCTGATTTAGTCCCCACAATAACCCTATGTGGATAGAGTGTGAACTTTTGGTTATACATTATAGAAACTGAATTCAAACCTGCTTAAGTAAGAGGAAGTTTATTGTTTCACAAATTGACAAGTCCAGGGGCAGATTGTCAGACCCAGTAGTTCAAGAACTGCCACCAGGAATTAGTTTCTCTAGTCCTCAGCTCTGCTTCCTCCTGTTGGCATACTCAGGCAAGTTCTAGGTGATGGCAGAGCATGACCATGGTGCCTATGAGGTTGGAGGGGGAGAGGGAAGAATCCCTAACAGGGAAATATGAATTCTGTTGCTAGAAGAAAACAAGATTGGGTTAACAAAATCCACAGGTCTTTGTGTGGTTATGCCCATTTTATAGACTTTTTAGATGTGAAACTTCTAAAATATCACCCTATTTGACAGGTGGTGTTTGCCTGCATTCTGTGACTGTTCAGTAGACTATGGCAATGATGATACTATGCCCTTCTCTCAGTTCAGTTCCTAAGAAATAAGTTTCTAATTGTTGTGTCTTGGGACCTAATCACAATGCTGTGAAGAAATCCAGGCCACATGAAGAGGCCATGTGTTCATGGTCCAGCTGACAGCCAGTGTCAACCGTCAGACACAAGTGACTAACCCTTCAAGATAACTCCAGCCCAGCTTCCATCTCACTGAAAACCGAGTAAGAACTGTCAAAGCCCAGCACCGTGAGGGATAATCAAATATTTTTCTAAGCTTTTAAGTTTTGGAGTGACTTGTTATATATCAAATAACCAAAACACAAATGGAGACTCAGGTTAAGTTAGCTTACTCTACTTTGAGGGCCTGAGTTAAGAGTGTAGACTTTGTTGAACTGAGTTCCTATCTGGACTATTTGTTGTGTGAACTTAGGTAAGTCATTTAATCTTTCTGAGCCTCATTTTCCTTAGCTGAAAAACAAACGAGCATATCCTCATTATGAGATACTTAATAAATGAGAACATTTATTTTTACTATATCCAGATTCAGGTGATTTTCTTTTAAAGAATAACATAATTTGCATTCTTTTTTTCCTATTTTTCTGTTCACCTTGTTCCAAAATGTATTTCAGGCAACTCACAGAGAGAATATTATAAAAATATTAGAATATTATAAAAATGCAGCAATGGAAATAACAAGAAGTCCACTTTTTGGTGTTCTGACATCTGTGATTCATTTCAGTCAAATGTCACTCAGTTCATGCCCTCCTTTGAACAATAAGTCCCTTTTTTTTAAAGATTTATTTATTTATACAAGCACTGGGTACAGTCAGAAGCGCGGGAGGGTGAGAGAATTCACCAGAGCTAGAGTGGGGTACAGAACAGGCAGACTGATGAAATACACTGCTGAGGGGAGCAGCGGGCGCGGCAGGAGAGGTCTACGCGTCATGTGGGACCTCGCCGGCCGGCCGAAGATCAGACCGGCGCTGCAGAGGCTGCGGGCAGCTCTGCAGCCCAGCGCTCAACCGCTGCACCACCAGGGAGGCCCAATAAGTCCCTTCTCACCTCTCAAACCCAACTTTCAGTGTCTCTTATACCCTTTCTACACTCTAATGTCCAATGCCCTGGCCACACAGGGAACTAGCTGCCTCGGGTCAGGTTCTGGCTCTTTCATTCTTGCCCATAAGTGTTTTAAGAAGGAATGTGCTCCAACTAATTTTGGAGCACATGCCAGTAGTATAGTTAGCATCTACCCTAATTAGCCTCCACTGCAGCATCTGATGAGGAAGGAAAGGGCAAGAGAAAGGGGTGTGTGTGTGTATATATGTATGCAAATGCAGAGCACACGCACACTTCTGCATGCTGTGCTAAGTTCTGCAAGACAGATTGCATGATCTTGATTTAATCCTCAGAACAATCAAAGATACTAATTCCACCTTGCAGATTGGTAAATTGAGATTTTGGGGTTGAATAATATGTCCAAGGTCAAACCACTTCACTTGGAAGATGTATAGGCAGGATGCAGCCCAGGCGTCTCCCTACATGCCAGTCATAAACAACTGAGATTTCCCCTCCTGATGCTGTCTCCTGGCTCTCCTTCCTGCATACTGCTCAGTTTCCATTGCTCACACTCTTCCTCTTCCGCTAGCACCTCTCCACCCGTTGAATTTTTCTACGCAGAATCCTGCCTCCACAACCTCCACCTCTACCCGTCCTCCTCCAGACACAGATGCCTAATAGCTGCACTTGGATGTCCACAGGAATGCCCTGTCCAACCTTCAGTCTGTCTTTCTTCATGAATCCCCCATTTGAGAAAATCAAACTTGACGCCTAATGCCAATGTCTCCCTATTTGCCATCTTTAATTTTTCTATGGTATGTCTTGGCTCTAACCCATTTTTCATCTCATTTCCTTAGGTGCTTTTATCTCTTGGATTTGGCAGTAGCCTCCTAGTTTCGTGCTGCTTGCTTCTCATCAGTCTTTGCTCTTTACCATCAGTTACTCACTGCTTAATGGATAAAATTCCAGACCCCTGAGCGTAGCATATGAAAATTTGACTCTCATTTCTTTCTAGCTCACTACCTCTCCTCCCTCATTCTGTCCCCTGGTCTTAAGCCACACGTAACTAATTGTGAATGACCCATTTATTCTTTACATGTGCTTTTGTCTCTTATGTGGCATGTTCTTTGCCCTTTACTGGCTTACCCTCTTTATCCTTTATAGCTCACCTCAGAAGGTACTTTCTCAGACACCTTCTAGCATTGGACCCACCTGTGTGCTATTCGTCACAGCTCTTACGAGATTATATTTAGTACTGGTGTGCACATCTGTCATTTCTTCTAGGTTCAGTTCCTAGATGACCAGGGCTGCCTTTTGCTCCAGGCAGTTAGTAATTCTTTTGAACAATTAACACTGTCACTGAGAGGCTTTGTTGCAAAGTACAGGATATGGAGCCTGAATGCCTAGGACTGCTTCTTGGCTCCCCACTCCTCTCCAAGTCTGTTTCCTCTCTCATAAAATGGAGATGATAGTATGCCTGCCTCAAAGGGTTGCTGTGATTTCTATGCTACACACACACACACGAATGGGGCCTGGCATATAGTAGGGACTTGGTAGTGCTAACCATGGATCATGTGACTAATAACCCAGATTCTGGGCCATCTGAGACATTTGTCCTAGTGCACTGGTCTATCTGGACTAGAAAATGAAAAAATGAAGCCGCGATAATTCTCTTTATCTTACTGATACTGAAGTTGTTGCCCAGTATATGTTTGGGTTTGGCTGGCTTCCCATGTAAAATTTCAGCTTTGTTTTCTGGCTCCCTATGTTGTTGGTGTCCTGAGACCAATTCCCAGTGGGGGAGGTCTGTAGAGGCTTCCCCACATAGACAAGCATTCTCAGTCACCAACAGGGTGTCCAAGAACTCAATTCTAACATTACCCAGAGATAGTGTTGGGTTCTACTAGTTAAAGAGCTCAGTCTCCCAAGTCTGCCTTTCACTTCGGAAGTTGGTCGCAGGCCCCAGGCAACTTGTTAGGCTGCCATTTGGTCTTGACCAACTGGCTATAGACTGATGTTCCCATGACCCCCCCTCTTCCCATGATCTCTGGTGCCCATAAAAGCCCAGGTTATCTGTGCTTCTGACTGACATGCTATAAATTACAAGTTCCTAGGTCCTCAGATCTCCTCAGGCTTGAATAACACATAGAACCCAGGAAACCTGTTTACTCACTAGATTGTCAATTTATTACAAAGGATGCTGAAGGATGGTCAACAGCCGGATGGAGGAGATGCATCAAGCAAGGTAAGGGGGAGCCTCTCCTTTTGGGCTTTTATGGAGACTTCATTACTTAACCAACTAATTCACTGGTTATTGGCAGTTGAACTCAGCCCCCTCTAACCTCACGTTGGTTCCCTGGTAACCAGCCCCCAAGCTCAGGTGTTTTCCAGAAGTCAATTTCATTAACATAACAGGAGATAGCTTTATCACTCCCTAAACTTGGAAATTCCAAGCATAACTGTGAGTCAGGAGCTGTGGATGAAGACCAAATATGTATGAGAAATACTGTTTTGGTCATCCAAATGACTGAAATAATTATTTCTCCTATGCCACAATCGCATTCATGAAGCCAAACTTAAATCAACAGACAATAATTAGAAGGCTTCGGGAATATTTTGATAAGGGCAGGAGCCTTGGCTCCCACAGGTCACCCAGCACAGGCATTAGGTCCTTTTCTCAAGAGCAGTATGATGAACATGACAGAGCTCCAAGGACTGTCTTTATTCCAAATGCTTGGGAGTTTGGTGATCAAATAACAAGGTTGGCAGAACATGGCTTCTGATCACCTCCTGATCCAAAATTGCCCAATTAGGGGGTTTCTTGGTGTGCTGATTACAAGACACAGAAGCTTCAATTGCCTTTTTTCACTCCATGAATGGTTCCTTCCAGCTGAGCTGTGGTTGGCGTGTAGCAGTAGACATATTGCTACTGTGTGGGGGTAAGCTAGGGCAATCCATTATTTTTAATGGGTTCAATATAGTCCATTCAATTTAACCTAGGGAAACCTGGCCTGGTCAGGGTCAGTCCAGAGAATGTTTTGCAAATGGAGTTAAAAATGGGTTGAAATTACCAACATAACTGTACCACCAACCTGTTGAGTACCACATCCTCCCCTAAGGGGATCCCCCTAAATTAATGAACAAAACACACATTACATACAAAAGCAGTGGAGTGCTAATTACACAAGAGGCACTGATCCTTGCTTTATTTACGCCATTAACATCCAACATTGGGAAGCGTGTGGGTGTAGATACAAAAGAGGGGAAAGGTGGCATCATAAACAGTAGCTGAATTCATGGGGGGGGGGCAGTCTCGGCAGCTTAGCCAGTGTGTAGTCTCCTCAGGACCTATTAAGTTGAGGGAATACTCTGCTCCCTCCATTGCTTCATGGCCAAAATGCTTTACAACACTTTAAGGGTCACAGTGATCAAAAAAATGGTTGAGACATTCAGGGATAAGTGACTGTTCCTGGGCTGCTAATAGTCTGGCAAAGACAAAGTGAAGAACAGCATTATGCCCTTATCCTCAGCAAGTGTGTGCAAAGCAGATCACAGCAGACACGTTAAGATCTTTTCCCCTGTGCTCAATGGTTAAACACCCTTTCCAACCAAATCCTCAGAAGACAGAACTGGAGGTACAAGAAGTACCACAAAGGCAACAACACCTCTTGGTTTCTTATGGTCACATTCAAAACTAATTTTAATACAGAAAATAGAAATGTACTTGTTGTAGGCCTTATTCAAACCCATAATCCAAGTTGGAGAGGAAAACTTCCTCTAGTATGGTGGTTTAGACTCTCATCAGAAGAGTTATCTGCACTGCACACAGCACATCACCTCCTGACCCAATGATGCCGTTAGGGGTTTTCTTAATGTGCTGATTACAGGACACAGAGGCTATGTTTCAAGGAGCCTCTTAGTGGCCAATAAAGAATATTCTAAGGAGGGAGGGTACATAGCACCTTGTATTCCCTCACATGGTAACAGCTGGAGTACTTGGCAGTAAGGTAGCGGCAATGATCCTTGCCATAATGAAAATAATTCAAATCTATATAATTGTTCCTTAAGACACTGAAAACAGACTGTGCTCGCATACCTCTTGCTTTAATCACCTTCCCATGTGAAGCTGTTTCTACTTCATGTATATCTCAAAAGTGGAGTAGGAAAATGGCTGGCTAGCTGAAGTGCCTGCCACGTCCAGTTTCTCAGAACAAAGATACAGAGTCTTGCCAGGCACAAGCTGTTGTATTGAATTCATCGAGCACAATTTTTATAGAAAAGAAAACTGAAGAACAAATCAAATTGAAAGAATCACTGTTATAATAACTTTAATTTATCTTGCATTTTACAGAAGTCTATGAACGATTTTAAAAAAGCACCTCCTTACCCCATCAAGTTTCTGACAGTTGTTAAGTGGGTAATGAGTATGCCAACAGCCTGAGCATCCACATCTCGCAAGGATTTCAGATCAACCAGCCACATACCAAGGAACTTGGCAGCGTTTCTATCTTGTTTTTAATACAATGGTATATCCACTCTGATGGTAAACCTGTCCAGCCAAATCTCCACAACACACTTTGAAAAATCAGTGGTGATTAGCAAATTAGTTAGCTTTGGCACGGAGCTGTGCTCGCTTGCCGGTGACAGCCTGGAAGCCGGTTTTGATGCTGGCAACAGAGCATCGAGAATGACAAGTTTCACACTGTAAGAAATAGAGTCGGGTGTCCTTTTGCAGGATTGTGTCTGGTGATCGGCATGTGTGACAGGTGACATATTCCTCTGCAAAAAAATAACATACAGAATTATTTGGTGGCCACTATAATCCAGGTTTCTTCCCTCTGAAATACATCTTCTACCCGAACTCCAGAAATCCATGCTAGCACCCACTTCAGAAACCTTTAGCTAAACTTAGTAATTCTAGGGGTAAGAAAACACAAGCTGTTATTGTGCTTCAAGTACCAAACAAGGGTTGCAATAAGACTCCACATGTCTAAGGAAGCAGGAATGCTTGCCAGGTGCCTTATCAGGGGTCTGTCCACTGGAGTCACTCAGGGAAGTTACTGGCTTCCTAGGCGGGAGCAGACCTGCCATTTTTAAGTGACTGGGGAGATAAAATCAGGCCAGGGCTAAATGCAGATTTTTGACTAGGCTTCAATCAGGAACCAACCAGTAGCCTTAATCAGCTGGGTTGTCTCAGGACATCCAAACCTTTCACCCTGTAGCCCTGATCACCTGTAAGACCCAACTTCCCATTAACTATAATTTTCCCTGACATTTTAAGGTCAACCATTCCAGATTCATTATAAACTAATGGCTCTCCTCGAAATAGTGTAGCCTGATGAGAACATTTCCAGACTGATGTGCTGAAATTAAATAATATACTTACTGATATATCTTCTCAAAACATTCTCTATTTGTTTCTGTTGGAATCTTCCTTTGATTACAAGTTGGTTATTACCATCTATAGAACCACTATGAAAGAAAATGAAAAAATTTCACCATTAGTTTGTCCTGTAAGGACCTTTATTTACATTTGTTGATTTAACATATATTCAGTGACACAGGAACAACGTTATCCTACCTGGTTTCTCAAATTTTAACAAAATACAAGAGGACAAATCCACTTATATTTACTGGCTTTTCAGTAAGTTTAAATTCTTGAGGGTTATAGCACCCACTCGAATTCTGTGCCATCTACGGCCTTAGCTGGAAGGTTGCTTTAGCAACCAGGGGCATGAGTTACTTTTTCCCAGATTACTGTTTTTATTTGGTTTGCCACTAGGAGTCACTGCAGTGTTCTCTCCTTTTTACACATAAGCATATTCCTTGCTAGATAGAATTCAGTTAGTTTCATCTCTAGCATAAAGAATTTTAAGAAGAGCTGTGTGCTCCCTCTGGTTTCAGAAATCGTACCTGGAGCCAGCAAAAATGGCCTTGAATCACAGCCTTCCAGCCATATTTTAAAAGTCCCAGTAGGCACGGTTATTAAGCTTTTTAAGAATTCAAACTCCAAAGGCAGACCTGAATTTGCATAAGGTGACAGCAAACTAAATATGGCAGTGCCACGGTACACTTTGGTACCCCAGCAGGTCTATTCCAATGAATCACTAATAACTCTGTACCTTGTTCCCAAACAGCCAAGCTCTCCCACTGAAATGAATTGATTTCTGTTCCTCACTAGCTGAGTTCCTTTGTTACATAACCCTCCAGTAGTACTGTATACAACTGAATATAATTTCTTACCTTGTACCCAATTCAGCCAATAAAAATGCAAGGAGATGTTTGGGCTGACGATGTAATCTGAAAAGAAAATGGACATAGAAAACTTATCTTTCATGGAAATCCAAACAAACTTAAAAAGCAAAGCAAAACTGTTCACTGTTTTAATCTTTGATTACTTAGCTATTAGGTAAATTTCAGTACACTGTTCACATCAAACTCTGAAGTAAAGATATACACACACACACACACACACTTCAAAACCCATAAAAAATTGTTATTTACAAATGCCTAAATATGGAGAAGAAAGGTAATCAACTTACAAGGATAACATACTTCTCTGGGAAGGTGAAAGAGGTCAGAAATAGATGCAAAGGTGGTTTTAATTCTAATCTTAAAAAAAATGTTTTTGAAGTCAAATTACAATAAACCTAAGCAATGGATATTTGATATTTGGGTGTATTATACCAGGTCCTTGCATATTTCCTGCTAAATTAATTTCTACATTTCTGTTTGAAATTTTTCATTAGAAGAAAAATTAGATAATATAGAAATATTTCATGGTAGCACAATAGCAGGAAAATTGAAAACAGCTTAAGTATTCAACTGGTGAGTAGTTAAATAAATTATGGCATATCCATTCTATCTTGCTTTTAGAATAAGACAGGTCTCAATATACTTAAAAGACAAAAACAGATTTACACGCCTAAAATTAATTCTATTCACCTGGGCACTGTTTGAACGTATTCCAATAAGCAAATATTAACTACTATAAATTTTAGTTATTTTTCCCCAAATGTAGTGAGTGAGAGTTGGTGAAAATATAAAAAACAGGTTATTAGTTGAAATACAAATGGATACAAGCTTGCTAGAAAGCAACCTGTCCACTGGTGCAGCAATTCTATTCTGTGAATTTTTGCTCCCAGGCTCTGTTTACTGCCAACATACATGTATTAGTGTTCCCTGAAGCTTTGCCTCTGACAATGAAAATTTGGGATTTACCTAACAATTAGTACATTGTGTAGTCACTAAACATGTTTATGAAGACTATTTAACATTTATGAAGAAATGGGTAGAAGTATCATAATGTATTAAGAGAAAAAAGTTGATGGGGCAAAAGGATTGTTTCTCAAATTTAACTTAAGTACCCGTGACTTACCCATAAATTTAAAAGTTGGTATGATGGGCCTCCCATGGTGGCCAAGGGGTTAAAATCTCAGTGCTGTCAAGCTATCACCAGCCATTGTGGCCCAAGTTCAATCCCCAGGCAGGGAGCTAACCCACATGGTGTAGCAAACCTCTCCTGTCTTGCCCACTGCTCCCCTCAGCAGATCTATTTCAGTAAATCTGCCTGTTTTGCTCCCCACTCTGTCTCTGATGACTCCTCTCATCCCATGCACCTCTTGCTAACACCATCGTTCTTGTATGCATAAATAAAAATAAATCTTTTATTTAAAAAATTGGTATACCAATTTATTTAAAATATGTGTATAAACTAAACATAAGAATATATATTTTTTAAGTTTCCTTGTGCTTTTTTTTCCCCCCTTCAAGATTTTGTTTATTTTTGTGTAGAAGACCTGGGATGTAGGTCAGAGGTGTGCAGGGTTGAGAGGATTCACCAGAGACAGAGTGGGGAGCAAAGCAGGTGGATTAACTGAAATAAGGGAAAGGCAGGCGAGTTAGGAGAGGTCAGCTGAGCCATGTGGGTCACTTCCCTGGCCAGGGATAGAACTCATGCTGTGTGGTTGGCGATAGTTTGACAGCACGGAGACTTAACCCCTAGGGCTGCCACATAAAAATATTAAACTATGATTACTTTTTTGTTAATGATAGGCTTATTAGATGTTCTTTTTTTTTCATTTTCTTCAGTGTGTCTTTTCTTATTTTTCTATAATAAGCATATAGTCCTTATTTTCATCAGCAAAAAGTCTATAATCTTTAAAGTAATGCCTATAAGCAATGAAAACAAGTGTCCCTTGGGTGACAGAATTTTTAGTGATTATCATCTTTTTTGTTTACCACTGTTTTTGCCTTTTATCTGCAATAGTCCCATCAATATGAGACTGAAGAACAGACAGATAAGGTCAGTTGCCTAAGGAACCTGAAGAAAAGATATACCCAAAGAACTACAAGAGTGAGGCCAAGGCAGTGAGACCTGGGAATGACATTGACATTGAATGTAATGCTAATTAAGTTGAAATCTTATCAACAATGTCTTAGCAATGACCATCCAAAGAAGTGTCAGACCAAATTCAGCTTGCTTTCCTAGGGCTTACTGCTTACACTTGCTTGACAGGACTATACCAGCACTAATGAGCTTTTCCACCCTCCTTGGGCTTCCCCCAGGCTCTAAGGACGGCATTCAGGCTCCTCACTTTTCACTGCATCTGATTAGGATTCACTCTCATGGTTCAGTATGAGATGGCTTTTCTCACCTTTGGATGCCTAATAAAAACAACCCCAGAATCTAAATAACTGACAAACTCAAATTGTGACCTCCTTGAACCTAACCCTGTGCATTCTCTTGATAGTTCTACCTGCAGTAAAGTCTACAATAAGGATATTTAATATACACTCCACTGAGAATATAATATTTGGGATGGAGACACTCCAATAACCAACTTACAGTTTACAGATATCTGTAAAGTTGACGAAAGAAGTTTTCTTGGTTCCTACTCGGACAACCTGTGGAGGTTTCATAACGAATTTCCTTTTCTCTCCAGCAACCATATCTGGATTCTTTTCCCTCATGATGTTGAACACTCGATTTAATAGCTGTAAAGATAAAGTAGTATGCATGTACTGTTATTAATAGGAGCATAAAAAAAAAATAGGAGCATGAAGTTCCTACTTGAGTCACTTTGCTTTAACTGTAAACAGCAAACTTCACTGTTGATTAAACAAACACATGCATCACTACATGTTCTGGGAGCTCCCTGAGGGCAGTCTGCAAACAGGATCTGGTCCATTATCACTGCTCAGCAATTCTTTGTTCAAAGTTAACGAATGTACCCCTACTAATTCTGTTTCTATGGGAAAGTGTATGATACATGGAAAAGCCCAAACAAACTCCAGACAATCCCTCTTCTCCCCCTGTCCTTCCCCCACCTCACTCAAAGGGGCACATGTTCAGTCAGATGGGAACAGTGAGCAGTACGATGACTGTCACACTCTGGGCAAGCTGCCCCAGCATATGCAGGCACGAAACAACATGCACTGTCAGTGTGACCTCTCTGCGTCTGTTTCACTATCAATCCATATTTCAATGGCTTTCCCAGTTCAGGGAATATTTATTTTGCTTTTCTTTGAGTTCTACTGAACAAAGCCACTTTCATAACAAAATTTGTCTTACCTCTTCATATGTGTAGTCTCTTTCTGAGCCTGCCCAAGCAGGGCCTGTCTGGTTACTGAATGAGATACCATCATCTTTTTTGCTGTCTTCATCTTCTAAAGCTATAGAGAACAAAGACTGTAAGAATGAAATAGGGTAGGCCCTGATACGGTATTAAAAAAAAAAGGGGGGGGGTTTGAAGAAGAGGCACGGGGAGGCAGTTCTAGAGAAAAGCTTCAAAGACGCCTGTCTTCCCTCGTAACTACATTCATAGCAGCAGCAAGCATAAAAGCATTAAGTCTCACAACCCCCTATCCCTTAAAGATAGGATTCCTTAAAGATTACAATTTTCATAAACAACCCTCAATGGAGGAAAGAACCAACTGTTTTGAAGCACTTAAACATCCACATCTATAAAAACCCAACCTGTTGATAACACAAAAGTTCTCTAAACACCTTACAGCACTTAGAAATTAATAATATAGCACATTTAACAAAAACATTACATTTTTTAAAATTTTATTTAAAATTCAGTCAAACAATTTTCCCAATAGTTTGAATTAGCATATTTTGTTGTCATCAAAATTGCCTACACTTCCAAGAAATATTTAATTGTCATTTTCAGGTTAGGTACTATTTCCTTTTAGCTTCCATTATCAGGTAGGGGAAAAATGAAAAACGAGCCCTCCAATCCCATCAAAGAGACTAGGTTAAAGGCTTGAGTAACCTAACTTGAGCTGCTGAGTGCCCAACATTACCTTCATCTTTCTCTAGTATTTCATCCTCATCTGGGAACTTGACATTCTTCCTTTTCTTCTTTTTATTGCCAAGCATAATGTCAAGGTCATCCTCTGGCTCAGCTGGCTCCTGAACATCACTTTCAATCTTAAGATCCTAAGAAATTGAGATAAGCGTCTGAACATTGTAATACTAGGACTAATTTTTTTTTTTTAAATGACATGGGCTGGGCCTCCCGGTGGCGCAGCGGTTGAGCGCTGGGCTGCGAAGCTGCCTGCAGGCTCTGCAGCCGGTTCGATCCCCGGCCACCCCACTGGTGAGGGTCCCACATGGCACAACAGACCTCTCCTGCCGTGCCCGCTGCTCCCCTCAGCAGTGTATTTCGACAGTCTGCCTGTTCTATTTACTCTGGCTCTGGTGAATTCTCTCGCCCTCCCGCGCTTCTGACTGTACCAGTGCTTGTATAAATAAATAAATAAATCTTAAAAAAAAAATAAATAAATGACATGGGCTGACATCATTTGAGGAAAAAAATCAAATATTCAAAACTGAAGTTTCAGATAAGATATGTCCATTCTAGATAAGCCATACCAGTTCAGAGATTCTGTCATTTAAACCAGAAATTCTTGTTCAAGACACTTTTGTAGAATCTTTTCCTTTCTTTTATCCATCGGTCTTGGGAGCTTATAATCACTGTCTGTGTTTCTAACTGACAAAAATCTCCTGGGAAACTTTAAAATCCTTAAAACTGATTGACAATTCAGCAAGAACAGGGTTCAGGAGTATCTTTCAAAAGTTTCTAAGTACTCTGATGTAGTAAGTAGAAGGCTTTTTTTTCTCCTGACACTAAGTATGTGACACTAACTAGATCACCTACAATTTAATTCAATTCTATCCAGAGTTAGTCAGATTCCACATGTTTAAAGGCTCACTCCCATAAGACTGTCCTCATTTCAGGGGTTTGTCACACGTATAGGGTCCCTAGGTTATATACAACTCTCCCTTTTCCCCCAGGTTCAATAATGTTAGAGAGGAACTCCCATAACTCAAGAATGTACCTTACTTAACTACTACCACAGTCATTCTGACACCACACTTTGTAGTGATCTTTGGGCATCATTTTAATAGATGTCATTATGGAAGAGGGAAAAGGCAGAACCCATGGAAAATTATGGTCATTTGAATAGTTGCTATAACCACGGATATAGACAGGGCATACCACAGCCTAGAAAATAGTCATAAATTCCCCCAAAAGAGCAGAAAGAGCCAGTCTCCAGTTTATCCAGCTCACCATGAAATGTGCTGTCAACATTACCAATCTACGTTTGCATGCTCCTATCTGAACTGTGACAATGACTAGTTTCAGAAATCCTATCAGCAAAAAGTTGGAATAACTGAAAGTAAATGAAACCATCACAGACCAATTGTCCATGTCTATTAGCTATATAACACACAAATTTAGCCTAGACTAAGACTAGTCTTTTTAACATAGACTACAATGACACATCGGTAAACACTAAACTGACATATGAATATAAATTAGCACACCACAGCCAGCTTCTATGCCTACACTATTTCATCCCAGTAAGCTCTATTTCCAAACAGGGGCTAAGACCCAGTGAAAGGCAAAGAACACCACAAAGTATTTTTCAAAAGTCCTGTCATGATCTGAAAACTCAAGTGGGAGACTAACTCAAGATCTTAAAAACATTTCAGTTTTAAGTTAGCATCTATGTTGTTGCCTAGTGATGAGGATACTTGTAACATCCTTTGTTACCACTTCAATAGCAGAGAAAAAAGTATCCACATACTTTATTAAGATAGAGTTTATAAGTGACTCTTCAGGACAAAAGCTACCAGAGGAATTGACCAACAATTACGATTTTTCTTGGTACAAGCTCTGATGTGTCACGTGGTTACTCAGGATATTTAAACCTCATTTATTCAGTATAATCTAAGCATTTCTCTTTCTCAATTTCCCTGCAGCAGTAAAAGAGAAGAAAATCCCCAAACCGAGAAAGAACAAGATAAAAATCCAGGTAAAATCATCTTGTTCCAAAGGAGTCTAACTTACCCCTGAACTAAATACCTCTGAAAACAAGAAAACTATCTTATTCATTTTCCAGTATTCTAGCAATCAGCACTACACCTGACTCACTGTAATCACCAATACATATTTACTGAATTAGTCAAGTCATCAAAATTGTGACAGTTTTCAAAATTCAGTGAATTTCTACCTATATTTCTTGCTACATGTGGGATATACTTTTACCTGGGTTTGAGCAAACAAATCATTTACCAAAGAAAAATTTGAGTAGAGGGCACAAAGTGGGACGCTTCGTGCATGTATGTGTTCTCTTGCTCTCTCTGTGTAAGCATAAAATTGCCATTACCCTGCATTTTCTAAATAGATTTGTGTGTGGGTTCTGCTAAAGATTCCTAAACAGGTCTTCTAAAAGAATTCTGAGATATCTGAATTGGAATTAGAAATCAATCCAGTAGTAAGACAAAGTCTAAAGTCCTCACAAGATCAGAGAACTCCAGAAAACTAATATGAGTGCTCTATTTCTCCTATGGACTGTAAGACCATCAGCTACCAGAGGTACACATATAAGTTTATGTATCTTTAACATGTTACCAAAAGTTTAACGAAAGAAACTATAGGAAATATTTGCTTCATAGAAATATCTTCCGTTGGCCAATCTCTATATAGTTAAAAATAAGAGGCATTTTGTAATCATCTTAATGGTGCACAATATACAAAGTGTGCCTAAATTTACATTCATTTGAACCATAATCCCTTAAGATAACAAGACATAATTTGAGAAAATAACCTTTGACAGTGGTAAAGTACTTAACAACAAAAGCAAAGCTAGTAGATGAGACAATGAGGGAGAAACATCACCCATTAACAATCTTTCAATAGGTCAAATTTTACCTTCAATAAGAAAGCAATACTACCTTTACACCTTCTTCAGCTTCATCAATATCAAATATCTTTTTTGTTTTTTTCTTCTTTTTCTTCTGATTAAAGAAGTTCAAGTCATCAAGATCATCAGAAGCATCTAAAAAGAAAATTGAGATTATTAACAAATTGTTTACTGAAACTAATTAGAAGCAACTAATCTTGGGGTCAAGTTTTAAATTAATAACAATTATTAACACAAACAGCAAAAGGCAAAGTATCAAATTGAGTTACACTAATGTGTCTCTGCTACTAACTAAACCACCAGAATAAAAACACTGGGCATTAATTAGTATAGCAGTCCCTCCATAACCACATTATACTTCTGAAAAACAGTGGGAAGTCAACTCAAAGCTTTGAATGAAAAATGTGGTCAGGTGACCATACTGGGGGGACCAAATCATACCTCAATGTTCCTAAAACAAAGTCAGGGCTCTAACTTAATTTCCAAGAGTCTCTAGCTTTTTTTCTCCCCACTTCTGCCTACCCTTTTTTAGTCCCTGGTTCCAGCCCAAATGACTACTACTTCTTAGTGCAGTGTGTGTCTCTCACCTCCATACCTACCCATGGCCCTCCCATATACCTCTTATCTCCATCCCACAGGACATTAGATGCTACTTCCACCAAGTATTCTCTAAGTCAATCTCCTCCCAACTGGTGCCCTCTAGTAACTTCTTGACTCCAACAGAAGTAGTTATTAACATTCTGCATGTTTATCTCCCAGTAGACACTAAAGGACTATGCCTTTTTCATCTTACTCCTAGAGCCTAGCTCAACATGTTATTCACTCAATCACTCAAGCAAGCAATCAACAAAAGCCCTTATAAAGTATTTCACATTCATTAAAATGAGGCTTTAATATGAAATAAAATTTTATCTGCCATTAGTAAATAATGTGTTCTGTCCAATAAGTTTTCTCTTTGTTCTGCTGAAGCCCATTGTATACTAGCAGTATTTTAGGATCCCTTTGCTAAAAAGTTTTCAAGGAGTTATGTATGAATTCATTTTATCTTACTGCAAGAGTGATTTACTTTCCAAGTTTATTTTAAACATGTGGTAGATGCTCAATGAATGTCAGTTCTTTCTATCCCAGCAGTGTCTCACCTTCAACAGACATTAAATTATGTTTAGTGAGCCATTAATTTCTCCTTAATAGTCAAATGGTGTCTACATAGAGCAGAAAACTGAATTAATTATCACTGGTATTTAACCCCAAATGTATTAAGCTGTAATTTTACTCTTTTACACATTTTCAGACTTGCTAAGACATAAACTGCCTACCTAGGTCCCATTTCTTTTTGCCTACACTCAAATACAGCCACCATTAAAATTGGAAAAGAGACCAGACAAATTAGACTGGAAAGTCAGTTCTGGAATGATGAGATTTTGTCATCTTTGAAACTTATGACTTCAATGGGCATTTCCATGGAATGAGTCTATCAGAAATCTGACAAGGCCCAGTGCACAGAATGTTGATGGCCTCAACGTCAGTGGAACATCCTTATTAGGCTGTGTGGTCACCGTATGCACAAAATCCAAACACCAACGGAAGAGGACTTGGTTTCCCAGGACAACAGTAAGTCTCTTGTGTTTATCACTCACCTTTTTTCCTACTGTCCTCTTCATCTGCCTCTACATCTTTGTCCTCAGTTGGCTCTGGCTCCACTTCTTTTGTTTCCGAGGGCTGAGTTTCTTCTGTCTGAGCATCTCCTTCCTCATCTAACATAAAAGGCTTCTTCTTCTTCTTTTTCTTCTTGCTCATAGTAGGATCAAAAATCATCTGTTTAAAATAAAACAGAAAGGGATCAAGTGATTTTTTTAAATGATGGTCATTTTCAAATCTGCTTTATCTTCAAATGGCATACATTATTAAAGAATAGAATAGGTGGTGGTCCTCAAACTTGGTTACAGAATGTTTAATTTGTAGATTACCACAAGACACACACTCTTCACTTTTAGTTTTACCAGCAAATCTGGAGACTTAATGAATGAATGATGAAATTTAGAGGAAGGAACCTCAGCAATAACCTATGCTACACACCTTTATGGTTGAGAAAACCAATGCATAGGTAGGTTATATGTGTTTAAGGCTGGTACCCTGGGTTTGCTACACCAGAGATTGATCTGATCTAAAAAAAAATTTTATCCTGAAGTTCGGACAAATTAAGGAAGCTCAGCAGCAACTCTTCATGTAGTCAATCTCTATGTGAATAAGACTTTGCTTTTTGTTCTAACCTAAGTTCTCTTAGGTTATTTTTATCTAATGTCCACTAGATAAATGAAAAAGCAATCTATAACTTACTGTAGACTATCTTTGCATTGATCACTTGGAAAACTACAACAAAATTACTTTAGACAAATAGTTTAAACAATATATAGGGCAGATGCCTGGTAAAAGGAACAAGGTCTTTGAAGTCAAACAGAACTGGATACAAATCCAGTATTTTTTTCTAAGTCTCTTACCAATCTTTATCCATATTCTACCATGCTTAAATTTAACATTTTGCCTAGTGATCTGTTAATGATAGTGTGGCAAAGTGTTTAAGTACAAAGGGATCCAACTGACTGAATTCAAATCCTGACTTTGGCTCTTGTGTTATTCCAGAAAAATCCCTGCCTTCCCCATGTATCATTTGTAAAATGGATGAAGTAGCAGAATCAATAGTAAGTATTGGGAAGATTAAATAAATAAATAGACATAAAACACTTAAGATAGTACCTGGCACAAAAATAATATATGTCAGCAATCATTATAACTTATATAATGCTTTCACAGTTCAAAAAGCAGTGTCTTCTGATTCCTATCACTAAAATTTCATCAACTGGTGACCTAATTTCCAAGACATGAAATTAAAAAAAAAAAAAATCCCAGAATTGATTCTAATTAACATAAATATCCCAAACAAGTCAGTTTGGGAAAGTGGGCAGCTATACTGAAACCAAACTATAACCTGCAATAGGGTAGTTTTTGTCCTTACTTTACAGAGAAGATCTGTAAGACATTCTAGAAATTAATACAACCTCATTTAAAAGTTATACTCTACTGTGTGAATAAATAGCTGAAATGTAGTCATTCTGAAAAAACATTATTTGGCAAACTTATAGAGCAAGAAGAATGAATGACCTACTGGGCCTTGGGTCACCCTACAGGGAATGTTGCAATCTGTTTCAGGGAGGCAGCTAAAGTTCCTCCTCATTCCTGAAATATGGAGATTTGGCAAAAGGACAGACAGCATTCCAGGCACTATAAATTTGGTTGTCTGGCAGGCAGGATTTAACTATTCATTTATTGTATTTTTCTTTTCAAGTACCATGTTCCTTGGAACAGTCATTTAGCTATTTATTTAGCAAGACAGACCAAAGAAGGGAGGGATTCTGAAATATCAAAGAGTCTCACAAATGCCTTCTTATCCTGTTTGTATCTAGGTCTACAGGGAAACTATCTGATCAACAGTTTGAAGTGTTGTAGTGGGTAACAAACCTGAGAATTATCTACTGAAATAATTAACATTTCTCTCAATTACTGCCTCTGGATACTTTAAACATACTCATGACCTCATTTTATTCAAAGCACTCAGCAATTTAAAAAGAAGAATCCCAAAGCAGAACCTAGAGCAGAGCTCCTACCCCACCCCAATAAAAAATACCTCACAAGGGTATGTCAGTCTTGACTTAAAAAAATGTTTAAGACTTTCATATCTGATGTACAACTGATCATATTCCAAGTATTTGTTTATGAGACTAGTTTAAATTTGAGAAGCAGAAAGCTGCTATCAATGCATTTATGGAAAAAGCAGAACCTCGATTTTTTTTGTTTAAAAATTTATTTATGCATACAAGAGCTGGGGTACAGGCCAGAGATATGGGGCAGGGTGAGAATTCACCAGAGACAGAGTGGGGAGCACAGGGTTAGACAAGAGAGGTCTGCTGTGCCCTATGTGCGTGAGACCCCTGGCTGGGGTTCAAACTCAGACCATCCAGGTGATAGTGCTGAGACTTCTAGGCCACCAGGGAGGCCCTTGAACTTTTTTTTTTTTGAATCATAACAAAGTCTTCAAAAAGCAACTTTCAATTTTCAACTTCCTATGTTGAGTTTGAGGAGGTGAGGGAAAGAGATACCAGCAAAAATCACCCCGATAATAGCCTAAAGTGCTTTATCAAATTGGAAGCCTGCTTCTATCCAAGATGGTAACTTTATGGTCACACCACACCCAGTAGGCAGGTGAGAGTTACAAAAGAACCAGAGAAGCAAGGTGAGCAGAGAAAAAGTACTGTCACCTCTGGGTGAGTTTTAGTTCTCTCTGTTTCTTCTGGATTTTGTAAACTTCATTCAATACACAAGCCATTTTAAATTAGAAACTTTTTTTTAGTATAAAGCTTTTTTTGTAAAACATCTTACTGTGTTGTGTGAAAACCTGATGTTCTAGCACCTTGTGAATGCGCTATAGTCTTAGCTATTGACAGCACTTAAAAAAAAAAAAGGTCTGAAATATACTGTATGCCCACAGATAAGGAGATTTCTTCTTCACTAGGTAGCACCCATGTTTCTAGAATACTGATTTTTAAAGACCATGGCTCCACATAATTAAGAGGTTATGTTTTGGTGAAATTTTTTGGTTTAATTACCAGGATCAAAAAAAATGTTTGCAGGGGCCTCCCTGGTGGTGCAAGGGGTTAAGCACCACACTATGAAGCAATCTGCAGCCTCTGCAGCACAAGTTGAATCCCCAGCCCTCCAGGGAGCAACCCACATGGTGAAGACCTCTCCTATCTCGCAGGCTGCTCCCCTCAGCAGTGTATTTCAGTCAGCCTGCCTGTTCCATTCCCCCTCTCTCTCTGGTGAATCCTCTCACCCTTCACATCTCTGGCCTGTACCCCAGCTCTTGTATGCATAAATAAATAAATCTTTAAAAAAAATGTTTGCAGTTTATTTTATGTCAATTGTACATCAATAAGTTATTTTAAGTTGAAAGAGTTACTGCTCCTAAGCATAAGTACTCCATTCTGGGGAGTCCTTGGCAGCTTATTAATCATTTCTATATACAGATTTTCACTTGATCTGTACAAGTCTATAAAACAGTCACAAGTTAAGAATTCATTGTCTGGTCCTCCCTGGTGGCACAAGGGGTTAAGACACAACCTATGAAGCTATCCAGAAATCCCCAGCCGGCCAGGGAGATACCCACATGCTCAGCAGACCTCTCCTGTCTCGCCAGCTGCTCCCCTCAGCAGTGTACTTTGGTCAATCTGCCTGTTCTGTTCCCCACTCTGTCTCTGTGAGTCATCTCAACCTCCCCCCCAACCCCAGCACCTCTGGCCTGTACCCCAGCTCTTGTATGCATAAATAAATAAATCTTTAAAAAAAAAAACAAAAAAACATTATCTGGTCAGAAATACTAGAGGAACCAGAATCGGCACATAGCTCCAGAGTGGAAACCAAATGCCAGGCGGGGTTTTCGTTCCACTAACTTGCTGTGTGTTCTTAAACAAGTCAACTTTTCCTGGGCCCTAGTTTTCTGTCTAAAATGAAGTTGGACAGGTATACCTGAGACGTGCCAAGCTGCTTAATAGTTTATTAGCTTCTCGGTGGAATGTTGGTTCTGTCATCTGTTTGACAAAATCCTATTCACTCTCCAGTAATGCATTCATATTCTACTTCCTTCAAAACCTCATCCCACTTCTAGAAATGAATCCTCTAGCCCCTCAAACCGATCTCTTACCTTCTTCCTTCCAACACTTGTAAGCACTTTATTATAGAAACCATATGCCATACACAGTACCTCACACTAGACATGTACTGTATTTGCTAAAGATCATGAAAACATAAATAAAATGGGTAGAAACAAAACAAGCATGAAACGCTAACCCTCTCAGAACTTTTGGAATATAGCAGCCTCCAAGCAAGAATCACCTATTTCCCTTACACTCTGTTTCTTCCCTAAGAGAGTAAGAGCCTCTTAGTCACCTAGATAAAAGCAATATTGCATAGACCCGGAATTCTAGTACTGGCTCATGGGGATTATAAAAACTCTCTAAACCTCAGTTTTCTCATCTCTAAAATGAGCACATATCTTACAGGACTGTTGGGAGAATCAAATGCGTGATTAAGAGTCCCATACAGAATAAAATTCAAATTCCTTAACCTGGTCTTTAGATCCCTCAATGAACTAGCCACTATCTACATATCAAGGGATTAACTCTAACCAAATTCGAGAATATTCCACTTTTCACTTACACACTTGCCTATTCCTAGCCTTCTTATTTATTCCTTTGGCCCGTGATCAGTCTTTTCCAAAGAAATTCTAAGCATCTTCAAGGTCTACATCAAAAGGCGACCCCTGAGAAATTCAGATATTTTCCTCTTCTTTCTTTCCAATGACCTACAGGCCTCGAATTTTTAGAGAAGTGATTCATAAATATCAAGAGCTTTTCTTTCTTTCCTTTTTCTTTTGGTGAGGAGAGCTGACCCATAAGTAGTAGCTTCCCCCCAGTGTTAAAGAATACTAAATATCAGTAATTAAAATCAAACTTCACTTTAAGACAACGGATTTACATACACTGGGATAAAGCTGGCCAAATGGGATTGGCATAAATTTGCTTAGGTACAAGTAGGAGGGCAGAAAAAGACCTAGCCGGCCTCACAGCCCTGACTTCTCGCTCACGTCGCTGTGAGCTCTCGGTTACAGAACTCAGGAACTACTACCTTAAGTTTTCCGAGGTCACTTGATGAGCATGGAGGATACTGTCCTTCCGTCTTACCTCCCTCATCTCCTAGTCTTTCAAAGAAATAATACTCGAGATGAGAACAAGGGCGGATACTAAGCTAGGACAAACCAGTCTGCAAAGTTTTTAATGGGGGCACTGCACCGGAGCTGAAGGAGGCTCCTCCCGGCAGGCCTGGCCAGGCGAACTGGAGCTTCACTGTCAAATCGACAGGAATGCAGAGGTCGCCAGCCCCGATCTCGTTCAGTCGGGACACTAACCCGGCAGGCAACTCAACGTGCTCTATTCCGGAAACGCCGGCCACGGGAGGACGCCGGCCTCCGCGCCGCCACCCTGAGAGCAGGGCGCGGCCAAGCCCAGGGCTCCGGAGTCCTCGCCGGCTCGACTGCTCCGGGCCGCTTAGGCCCGGCTGCCCCACATGGCGGCGTCCGGCCGCTAGGCCGCAGGCCCGGGCTCCCACACTGGGGTGGGTTCGGCTCCCCGCCTCAGTTCTTCGCCTTAGCGCCCAGGCTCAGGCCCTCACCTCGTCCCCGGACATGGCTGCGGCTCGAGAAGGTTCGACGCAAATGAGAAGTCGGACGGGTCAGCTCCAGGCCCCGGCGGCAGCGCGGCTCCAGCCGATACCTCTCCCACCACCGCACTAGGCTCTTGCATCAGCGAAAGGGAACGACACCCCGCCCTCGCCTCCCAATCGTTGGAAATGCGCCTGCGCAATGCTCGTCACGGCGCAGGCGCGCGGAGGACTCGACCGAGCGCGCTTCGTAGGGCGCGAGTTACCTGGCGACGCCGCGGCGCCATGCACTTCGGGACTTGTAGTCCGCCTAGAAGAGGCGGGCGCTTGCTCGGCCGCCGCACCGTGATCTGTGCGCATGCGTGACGCCTGAGGACGCCGGCCCCAGGGTTGGGTTTGTGGGCGGTGCCACCTTAGCTTGGTATTTTGCACATTGGGGAATCCGCGCTGGTCTGCTCTCCTTGTGGAGGTGAATTGGGGGTTATTGCTCCTTGTTTAAGGGTGTGAAGACATTTAGTAACCTGAACCCTTTAGGGCGGCTACTACCAGCATGCCTCCTTGGAGTTTTCTAGTGCTGGAGGAACTCAGTTGGAGGGGGAGGCGCGCACCTCACCAAGGGCTTTTCACTTTGTTCGTAACTTAACCTGCTGCATTTCAGCTTGAGAAGCCGGAAATCAAAAGCCTCCTTCTTGTCTCCTCAGGGTATACTGAGGAGAGATGTTCCCTAAGGAGAAACGACTTGTCAAGAGGCAGTCGGTCTGGAAGCTTCAAAATAGTTGTTTATGATGTCTTTGCTTGAACGCTGAGGGCACAGCATACATTTCCCTTGAGACATAATAATGGCTACTCCTTGGGGGGTTCCCACTATTGTCATGGTACTTCAACCAAAGACCACTGAGAACAGCCCTGTGTTGAACAAAGTTGGACATTCTGTCGTCTTGCAAGGAGGGAGGCGAACTGTGGGCATCTCAGCAAGAGGATGCTGGAAAAATAATTACAGGATTTGGGCTTATGTTAGGAAATTTGGGGAAGGGTTCAAGGAAACGGGCCTTCTCTGGAATGGAAACTATAGGAAGTGGATGTAATTCTGTGATGGATTTTAATAATTATTATCTACAATAGAGAAGACACCAGAGGCTAAAAGTTATGATGGGTTTAGAAACAGTCCCTCGTCTTACCCAGGATAGGGGGCTATTGGGTATTTCTGTGCTTGGGATAGTGTTCTTTTTCGTTTGTATTCAGGCATGACTATGAAGTGATTTGTGTATGTGTCTTGATTCATCGTGGTCAAAGAGTAGCTTTGTCTGGTAATGGTGTTCTGTGAAATTGTTTATGTTTAACAGGCAGCATACCCTAGCTAATAGTGCCAGCCTAGCTCCTGCTACCAGAAGCTGCTTTTTTCCTTGTCACTGTGTTTCCTATTACTTGGTATATGTTCTATGCCTTAGACCTCAAAACAACTGTGTGAGACAATCTACAAATACTTAGTACTACCCATTGAGTTCTAGCTTCTAATCTAGGCATGGCAGGTAGAAATAGGTCTCTCTCCTGCAAGTAATTTACAGTTTAATGAAAATGATACTTTATTAGTCCCCTTTGCAGATGAGAAAAAAACTTTCATGGCATTTACTAAATCCCATATACAACCAGCAAAATGGGGAACCTGGGTATCCAAATCCAGACTGCCTGATGCTAATGACTGCTACTTTATTTACCACACTGAGAATCTGCACCTGTAACAAGTCTGCGTTGCCTCCTCAGTAATCTTCAACTGCTGATATCTGTGCAAACCAGGGTTTCTCAGTAGCAACACTATTGATCAACATTTTGAACCAGATAATTCTTTGTTGTTTGGGGCTTTTCTGTGCATTTAGGATGTTTAGCATTATCCCTGGCCTGTATCCATTAGCTGCCACTGTCACCCTCACCCTTGTTATGACAAACAAAATTTTCTCCAAATATCAGTCACTCCTGATTGTTAGCTACTGGTATATGCCATTTATCACCTCCTGGGTCTCTGCAGTAACAATCATTTGGGGCATGGCAGTCCACAAAGCACTTTGAATGGGGATGCCTTGAAGAGGAGAGAGGGAAATAGTTTGGCCTGTATTTGAAAAGCCTGTTTAACCAGGAAAATGAAGACTGAGAGAAACTAGAAACAAATGAAGTGGGGAATCAGTGGGAAGGAAAAAGATATTCCTTAGAGATTTCAGGCTTTCCCCAGGGTAGTAGTTTCTTTTTCAGGAAAAGTCAAGATTCAGTGAGGAACTGGCAAATGTCACAAAGCAATAGCAGCTAAACTTTTCCAGGTTTTCAAAGAGATAGATTCTATTTAAATAATAATAAAGTCAATACAAATAATTATCTTAACCTCTCCAATCTAGGAATCTCTGCAAAACATATACACATTAATTTCCTTCTCACCATGGTGAAGGAAATCATTGTGATTTTCCTGTTTTATAGATACAGAAGCCAAATTATGGAGGCCATAAAAATAATGAGAAATGCAGAAACAGACTACTGGAATCTTCACCTGGATCTTTCTTTATGCTCAACACCACCCAAGATCTCCAGCTGCTCAATAGTAAGCTAATGATGACAATTCTTCAATTATATACTAAGTTACTTTTTTCAGAGGCCTTATAATATTCCCTGGTCTCTTCACATGATCCATAAAATAGCAGACCTAGAGAGACAATAACTTAAAGTGAAATAGTGACAGTATTTAAAGTAGAAACCCGATCTCATGATTCTTAATCCAGGACTCTTTTGATGGGCAAGCAAGCCCATACATACTTATAGGAAGCGTAATTTTTTGTAATTTTTTTAAAAGATTTATTTATTTATGCATACAAGAGCTAGGGTACAGGCCAGAGATGCAGGGGGTGAGAGGATCCACCAGAGACAGAGTGGGGAACAGAACAGGCAGACTGCCTGAAATACACTGCTGAGGGGAGCAACGGGCAAGACAGGAGAGGTCTCATGTGGGTTTCTCTCTGGCCGGCTGGGGATCGAACTTGTGCTGCAGAGGCTGAGGATTGCTTCATAGTGCGGTGCTTAACCCCGTGCGCCACCAGGGAGGCCCCATAATTTATTTTTTTAAAGATTTATTTATTTATGCATACAAGAGCTGGGATACAGGCCAGAGATGTGGGGGGTAAGAGGATTCACCAGAGACAGAGTGGGGAACAGAACAGGCAGATTGACTGAAGTACACTGCTGAGGGGAGCAACGGGGAGTCAGGAGAGGTCTGCTGCACCATGTGGGTAGCTCCCTGGCCAGGGATTGAACTTGTGCTGCAGTGGCTGCGGATAGCTTCATGGGTTGTGTCTTAACCCCTTGCACCACCAGGGAGGCCCAGAAAGCATAATTTAGATAGAGATTCTAACTCACATAGAAATCCAAACCTATTCGGCCTTTTCATTTATGAACATCTAATTAAGTGGGACCTTTAAGTATTAGCTTTGCTGAGAAAAAGAGACAAATTACTGAGATATTAATGAAAAGCATCTAGTAACAGAAATTAAATTTATCTTTGGGTTGATAGAAGATATCTTTTCTCTCCCCCAAAGATGTCTTGAATAGAGTTATCCTTTGAGAATTAAACTAGTAGGAATGAATTGTTATTTAGTCGTATGTAGAAATGACTTATAAGGTAACCAGTGTGTCACTGAGATTTACTAATTATCAAGTCCAAGCAAGTTGATCCAGCTATACTCAAATGAAAATACTATTTCAAATACTGTTATTATGTCACATTTCCAACCCAAACCTCACCTTTGAGTTCTAGCCTCACATCCAAGCTCCTCTGAGTTTTAGCCTCACATCCAAGTGCCTAGCTCTCTATTTGCTTATCTTCCAGAGATCTCAAAATGCAGAAAGCTCTGCTTTGGTAATTAAAACCCTCCCTTTAAAAATGATTGATTTTAGGGGCCTCCCCGGTGAACGCAGCAGTTGAGCGCTGGGTTGCGAAGCTGCCCGCAGCCTCCACAGCACCTGCTCGATCCCCGGCCGCTGGGCGAGGGTCCTACATGGCACGCAGACCTCTCCTGCCGCCCGCTGCTCCCCTCAGCAGTGTATTTTGTCAGTCTGCCTGTTCTGTTCCCTGCTCTGGCTCTGGTGAATTCTCTCACCCTCCCGCGCTTCTGACTGTACCCAGTGCTTGTATAAATAATTAAATAAATCTAAAAAATAAAAGTAAATAAAAATAAAAATGTTTTTAGGTGCCACTTACTCTTCGAGGCCTTTTTAAAGTCATTTCAGCCTATTAAAATTTACCCTCTTCTGTCTTTATATAATACCAGCATTGACTCAGCATTTAAATTATAGTATCTTGCATTGTTGTTTATTTCTAAGTGCATATGTCCTGCCTTTCAGGTAGATTACAAAACCCTTGAGAACAGGGATTGTGTGCAGTGTTGCCTTCTACAGTGTCTTAATCTACTAGGGTCTTATTGCTATAAAATGTTACCAGGAGTTATTTAGTGTCCTGGCATCTCAATAGAAGACTTCAAAACTGTTAACAAAACCACCTCACACCTGGCTATTTAAAAACAAAAACAAAAAACCTGACAAGAGTTAGCAAGGATATAAACTGGAACCTTGTGCACTGTTGTTAGAAATGTAAAATGGCATACCCTCTATGTATGGTTGATCCTCAAAACAAAACAAATTAAATTACCATATAATTTAACAACTTTACTTCTAGATATATAGCAGAAGAAGTAAAAGCAGAGTCTTTTTTTTTAATGGAGACAATACATTTATTTCTTATAATTAATATACATTTAAAATATCTTTAGTCATCAATAATTCAAATAAGATAAACAATACCTCTACTCTAGAATAACATTCTGGATATTAGTTGGGAATTACATTCTCATTGGGCATGGTTTTTTCATTGTCAGTGAAAGAAGAATCCTGAAGAAATGTTTGTATACCTACATTGGTAGTAGCATTACCTATAATAACCAGGAGGTAGAAGCAACTATAGTATCCATCAGTGGATGAATAGATTGACAAAATGTAGTATTTACATATAATGCAATATATTTCAACCTTAGAAAGGAAGGAAATTCTGGCACATGCTACTGTATGGATAAACCTTGAGGACATTGTGCCAAGAGAAATAAGGCAGTCACAAAAAGACGAAAACTGTATTTTCCCACTTGTATGAGGTAACTCATACAAAATCATGGAAGCAGAATGTAGAAGCATGGTTGGGAGACGAAGGCAAAAGGGAATTGTTTTAATGGGTACAGCTTTTCGGTTTGTGAGAGCAAAGTTTTAGAGATTGGTTGCTACAACAATGTGAATGTACTTAATTAAATCATAAATGTAAAAATGGTCATGATGGTAAATTTTATTATGTGTATTTACCACAATTAAAAAAACTGAATATGAGTTCAAAAGATCATGTTTGAAATTTTGGGTTTTCCTTAGTAGCTAATGAATCTTGAGCAAATCTCTTCTTTATTTGTGCCTCAATTTCTTCTTTTCTAAAGGACATAGGGAAGCCAAGCTGGTGCAACTTCTGGATTTGTGTGGGGATCAAACGGGGGGAAAAAAACTCTTAGGATAATTTTTAAGTAGTTGTTTTTCCAGTTTTCTAGTGTCCCTGATCTCTCTTAATAGTCATTACAAGTTTCGCGTCTTATTTCATGAGAAAATGTTCCTCAAGATGCTTTCAGCAATAGCCTATTACCACTTCAAAGGATATGTATGCTGAACTTCAATTTGGACTGCTCACCTCATAATTTGGTCCCGGAAAAACAGCAAATAAACAGTCTTTATGAAGACTATTGATGACCTAAGATGCTAATTACTAATATGGTTTATCATTCATTGAGGAAACACAATCTCATGATTTTCATGTGAGCATTCTAAAAAAGGAACAATCAGAGAATGATAGCTCTGGGAAGTTAAAAATATAATAACAAAAATATATACATATGTATGTGTATATACATATATATACACCAAGTTAAGGGACTTTTCCAGAAAATAGAATAAAAACACAGAAATGGAAAATAAGAAAGAAAATAAGAGAATGAATCATAAGGTCCAACAGTAGGCTAATAGGAGTTCTAGAAAAAGAGAACTGTTAGGAATGTATCAAAGAAACCAGAAGATTATCTGACAAACTGAAGGATACGAATTTACAGAAGACTAAGCCTGCTGAGTGCCCCGCGTAATGTAGGGGGGAAAAAAGCCAAAACACTATGACAGTTTCAAACATAAGGAATAAAGAGAAGATTAAATATATATATATATATATATATCAGTGCTAGGAGATGAGGAAACAGGGAAAGGGAAATGGATGACTTATAAAAGAGTAGGTCTTAAGAGTAGCTTATTTTTCAACATTAACACTGGTGGCTAGAAGACAGCAAAACAGTGCTTTCAAAATTATGAGAGAATTATGAGAAAATTTTTTCAAACTAGAATTCCATATACTAAGTCACACTATTAATCAGTTACGAGGGGTGAATAAAGATATTTTCTCAGCATTCAGGGATCAAAAATGTACTGACACCTCCTACAGGTTAATCTTGTACTTTTCCTGTCCCAGATCTAGAATGAACTATTTCTCTAATACACTCTAGTTTCTTTTAATGGGAAATAGTATTTCAAGATCAAAACATGGGAGTTGGGAATTCTTGTTACTACAGGCAAGGTCATTTTCTTAGCCCTTTTCTGGTGGTGTTAACATCGTCCCTTAGTTTTTCATAATTTCACTGTAATGTGTTTAGGTATTCATATGCTCAGATTCCCTTGAGTTTCCTAACTCTGAGGTTTTGTTTCCTAGATCATTTTTGGAAAATGTTTAGCTTTATTAGAAACTCAGATTTCTGAAGTGGTTGTATAATTTTTCGTGCCCATCCAGAATGAATAAGTATTCTAGTTATTCCACATATTCATCAATAATTGGTATTGTCAGACTTTTAATTGTATCAATTCTGGTGAATTTACAGTATTATTTCATTTTGGTTCTTGTTTACATGTCCCAAATAAGTAATGACATTGAGCATCTTTTTTTTAAAGATTTATTTATGCATACAAGAACTGGGGTACAAGGCAGAGGTGCTGATGGGAGGGCGGTGAGAGGATTCACCAGAGACAGAGTGGGGAGCAGAACAGGCAGATTGACCGAAATACACTGCTGAGGGGAGCAGCAGGAGAGACAGGAGAGGTCTGCTGCGCCATGTGGGTTACTCCCTGGCCGGCAGGGATCAAACTCCTGCTGTAGTGGCTGCGGACAGCTTCACAGTGTGGTGCACCACCAGGTGGTGGCACCACCAGGGAGGCCCTATTGAACATCTTTTTATATGTTTGTTGGCCATTTGGATATCTTTGTGATTTGTTCTGGTTGGATTATTCTCTTTTTTGTGGATTAGTAGGAGTTCTTTATAAATTCTATTGATAGATACAAATTCTTTGTCAGATATATGTATTGTGAATATATTTGTCTTTTCACTTTCTTAATGGTGTCCTTTGATAAGCTCATAAACTGATGCTTGCGTATTTTGTGTATGTATTTTGTAATTTTAAAGTTACATTTTCTAATTTTCAAGAGCTCATCTT